GATAGATAGATAGATAGATAGATAGATAGATAGATAGATAGATAGATAGATAGATAGATAGATAGATAGTTCCTAACAGTACCATTATCAGGTATCAGCTATCGAGATGAATCCCATTGTGAACAAATCCCAGCGAAGCATTTTGATAAAACTTTTAATTCTAACGATTAAATAACATCCACACACGCGATCCCATAAAGCTTCTGTTTTCCCTTTCCGACCCGCTGGGTGTGGAATTTCATCCCACCTTTGGGTGCTCAGCACCACTCTGGTTTCTCTCCCTGACTCCAGACAGAGACTCAAACCACACAGCTCAATTCCCACCGGTGATGGATCCTCCTCGGAAAGGAAAAGCAAATCCACTGCGCTTTCTATTATTGATGAGAAGCCTTAAAGGTGTTATCGCTCCGTCTTTTGCTTCACCGAGGGGAAATGAGCAAACGGATACTTTTCAAAGCGGCGAGAGAGCCAACAGACGAGCAAAAAAATAAAAAATAAAATCCCACAGCGCATTTATCAGCAAATAAAAACCTGTGGCTAACCCAGAATACCCTCGTGACATGAGTAATTAGCACAAAATAACATTCGGATCTATGTTTTTAAAGATTGTATTTTTCAGTTTTATCATTTCTGTCCTATATTTTTATTTCAACATTTTATTTCTTGCTTCTCATAGAAGTGTTGTTTTGTGCACCAAACACAAAGGCAAAAAATTCCTTGTACAGGACTGTCTCAGAAAATTAGAATATTGTGATAAAGTTCTTTATTTTCTGTAAATTACAAATTGATGCAGTGATCTGTGCAAAAGGATTCCCAACCAAGTACTGAGTGCATTAATGGACATTTTCAAATGTTTGATTTTGTTTTGCTGTTATAATTTTTTTTTTTAACTTGGTCTGAGGAAATATTCTAATATTTTGAGATAGGACATTTGGGTTTCTTAAGCTGTAAGCCATAATCAGCGATATTAAAACAACAAAAGGCTTGCGATATTTCATTTGATTTGTAATGAATGCAGAATGTATGACATTTCATGTTTTTTAATTGCATGACAGAAAATAAAGAACTTTATCACAATATTCTAATTTTCTGAGACAGTCCTGTAAGTCTAAAAACCTACTTGGCAATAAACCTTATTCTGATTCTGATTCTGATTCGGATAAATGACAGATGCTTCCACATATACAGCACCTTTACTAACACACCTCAGCAGATATAACAACCTGACTGTATCCAAAAGAATCCGATTATCATCATGTGACTGATCGAAAATGTCCAGAAAGGTGATCTCATCTGTGTTTGCTCACTCCAGCATTTAGGGAGAGATCTCCCCTCAGGCTAGGAGGGTAGGCTATTTATAGTAGGCTCATTGTTGTCGCCGTTATGGGACAGTGTGTCCTACTTACAGCCGATACCACGTTAAAGCCAGTGTTTATGTCACAGCTCGTGTCGGGAAGGATTCCCGAGAGAAAAGAGGAAGACGCGTCACTCTTAAGCATCCCGACTGTACAGTAGTTTACTAGAAACCAAACTGAATCCCTGGACACGGTCAAGACTGGACACACCTGTCTGTTTCAGGTCTCAGACTGTACTAACTGTCAATGAAAAGAGTTTAAAGACAAAGATCTTAAAGGCAGATTTTAAAGGCAAAGATCTAAGGAACAAATCAAGAACATTTTTTGGAGTCTCCATCATTCCAAACATAGAGGAAATCTGGAAATGCAATAGTGGATCCAAACGATTTGGTGAATAACAGCCAGAAAAGGCCTTTAGACAGGTAACCAACAAACCAACCAATAAATTAGGACTGGGGAGTTCATTTGGGGAGATAGTACATAAAGAACAAGAGAAACATTATGTGACTGAGCATGTTTTTGTCCCATTATTTAAGTTTTGTATGAGGGCACAACCTGAAAAGATTAATAACATCTAAAAAATACTTATATATATATTATATAGGTATATCAGCTACTGTCAGAAATGTCTTTATTGAATATTATCTGGAAATGATCATACTTCCTAACTTGACTTCAAACTCATACTTCATAACTTGAAATATATATATGTATATATATCACATTTCAAGTTAGGAAGTATGATCATTTCACAACCTGAAAAGATTATTTTATTAATATTATTACTAACATAATTATTAGATTATTAATATCTAAAAAATACATATTTTATATATATATATACATAATATATACATATATATCTCAGATTTCAAGAGATGAAGTATGATCGTTTCCAGATAATATTCAATAAAGACATTTCTGGTGGGTTTGCTGCTGCCAGAGTGAGAAACACAGACTGAATTAGACGTGTGTGGGATAACTGGAACTGACGATCACCTAGGAAACACGAATGAGCGAGCTGTTTAATTCCTCTATGCGAAATAAGCCCAGGTGACCTAAAACAGCTCGGAAACACACACACAGGCGCGCGCACACACACAAAAACACACAGAAAACCTTAAATTCAACTGAGTGAGTGCACCCACACCTTTGCTTGTTTTAACACAATTTCCAAACGAGGACGTGGAAATCTGAAGCATTTAGTGAGGAACTCTAGGAGCTCAGGAGTGAAAACAATTAAGAAATTAAAAGAGGAAAAAAAGAGAAAAAGGGGAAAAAAGGAAAAAAAGGGGAAAAAGGAAAAAAAAGGGAAAAAAGGGGAAAAAGGGGAAAAAAAGGGAAAAAAAGGAAAAAAAGGAAACAAAAGGAAAAAGGGGGAAAAAAGAAAAAAAGGGGAAAAAAGGAAAAAAAAGGAAACAAAAGGAAAAACGGGGAAAAAAGGAAAAAAACGGAAAAAACGGAAAAAAAGAAAAAAAAAAGAAGAAAAAAAAGAAATTAAAAGTAGAGAGCAGATAAAGCCAAGAGAATCCCTTATTTTGTTTTTGAATCAGCCCCATGAGGCTGGAGAGAAGACAGAAAACAAACTCCCCCATAATCTCCTCTTCTCTTTCCACTGCGGCCCTTTGGCTGCACACAGGAGGGCCGTGGGCTAAATACCTGCTCCAGTATCAGGTTGATCCGGTCCACCTCGCAGTCGACGAGGAAACGCTTCTCCTGGCGGCGGTCCATCTCCTCGATGATGCGTCTGTACTCGGTGGGGTCCACGATGCTCCCCACGGAGCGAGCCGTCACCTGCCAGTTATTGGCCACCGCCGACTCCATTATGGCCTGCAGGATCCCAAAACCTGAGGGAGGACAGAGGGGGAAGAGCTCCATCTCACACGTTTTCTTTGAAGAGTTCAGAGCACGCGAGCCAAAAAAAACCTGCAAAAAACTGATAAGAAGTATAGCTTATTGTCATAGTGATGATAAATGTAATACTGTGTCTACTCTGTAAGTCGCTTAGGATAAAAGCATCTGCCAAATGCAGAAAACATAAAAATAAACATAAATAAATGGTTAGAATATTCCTGTTTAGTGTCTTATACTTATCGTCAACACACTCATATGAGGAAACTCTTGTAAGCGGAGGCAATAGCAAAACGTTTAGCGGAGAACATGCTAATGCGATTTAAGATCCAGGGAAAAAACTCACGCACAGCTGCAGGATGAATAAATAAAAGGCAGCTGTTTAACCTTTTAAAGCCTGATCCAAGAAAAATTGGAAGAATATTGGATTTTTTTTTAGTCCGAAGTCTTTCTTTGGCCCCTCAACAACATATGAAGAAAAAAAAACAGAAATTATTTTGATCAGATTAGTGTGCAATAAGTCAGAAATATATTTCCGTGTAGTCTTTTACTGGCTGTTATCAGGTATATCTGAATGTGTACAACAGGGGTTTGAGCAAAGCTTTTACCACTGAATGATGCAAATAGTCTCAGATCCAAAAGACTTCAGAAACCGTATGAATCAGATATGATACGTTTGGCATTATAGGGTTAAATACAAGCTCTGAACACATATGAAATAAAAGGGAGTTTTAAAACAAATGAGCTATATTTGATGCCTTTTGATAAAAATGCTTAGCCGCCCTCCCCCTTTTCCCTTACAGTACTTCACGTGAATCATATGAATCTGCCCTATCTTATTTATTTTTGCATAAATCTCTGCTGTCAGGCACCGGATTAGTTCCTCCTGTGCGGGGATAAAATCAGACCTTGCAAAAAGTTAACACGCTTTAGCTAACGCCGTGAACTGGACTGCTAAAAAAGCAGTTTAAAAAGAAAAGCACGACAAGTGTTCCTTAGCATTGTGTTTATTTTTTTGCAGAGCTCACAGCGGCGTGTGAATATTCGGGTTATGGGGAGTGTGAAAAGAAAAAGCTGAGCTCACCGTAACCTGGCTGAAAAACTACTTTCACTTCTGTCTGAGGTTCACTAAGAAGGTTAAGGATTCCCACTGTCAGCAGCCATGTCTGTGAATCAGCTAAAAACCACCACAAAAAAGTAATAAAGACTATTTTCTGTTTTGTTATCAGTACATTAAACAACTTAGAATAAAATGAAAATGGAGAATACAGAATATTTTTCTGGATTATTTTGTTTTTTGCTTCCTGGTTGGTAGAAAGAAGCTCATTATGAAAATGATTTGGGGCTGATTGTAGTAAAAAGTGATCAAAAATTAGTTTCTGCCACAGGAATGAGGCCAAGATTTTAAAGCCATCAGTTCC